AAATATATGCTCAATGTTTTCATACATACCCATAACATGTAATTTTCCACTAAAATGATTATTTTCCTTAAACCATAAAATTTCACAAATAATTATACTTGAATATAGGATTTAGTCTTCACAACTACAATATTAAGAATATAATTTTCCATTCCACTTCACATAGTATTATAATAATACAAAACAAAGGTTTAACTTTAATAACTATCACACAACTATCAAAACACACAAAAAGAGAGTTTAGACAATCCGGTTACCTTAACTTTTTTGTCATAAAAGGGTTATTAAGGTCAAACAATCTCCATATGTGTCTACTAGCGTAAAATGCATGATCAATATTTAATCTACAAGATTAAACATTTAATCATCAATTTACACATTAATTAACCCACTTTTAACACAATTTCGAGTACCCATTATACCCAAAACCTTAATTTAACAACATTAAGTCTCCCCACACATTCCATTAATCTCATTAACGCCTAAACACACTAATAGCCCCAGTTCTCTATCCACATTGCTCTTAATCTTTCATTTTTACTTAGGGTTCATCCAAACGCTACTAAAAATTTCAAATCACTACACAATCCATAAACTTAGATTTAGAGGCTTGATTTAACTCTCTAAGACCTCTCTTCATGCCATGTTTCACTCAAACTCTGACTTAGCTTTTTTCTAAGGCTGTCCAAAGATTCAATAACTACATTAGGCTTTCAAAAACAACAATATAAAAATTCACTTTAATTTACTAATCAACCCTCCTAAACAATTAAAATTTCAGAATTCAAAATCTAGGATATTACATTTTTCAAAATAATGACCGAAACAGATTTTTGTTACCAAAATTTGTTTTGAAAAACTATTCTACAGAATTTTTACAAATATCACATTGTCATTGTCAATGCCAATAACAATAATTTCCTTTGCTTTTCAAAGAGACAATTTAAAGTTCCCCAGATCACAAATAAATTAAATATATAACTAATTAAAAATAAAATATTTTAAACCATATAGATATCTGCTTGAAAGATTTTTAAAAAGTTAGAAAGGGACCAGTGAAATTTTTTCAAGGGGCATGTATGAAGTTTTCTTGAGAAGAATAATCACATAATGCTTGAAAATAACAAACCTTATAAAAGCATTAATGATAATTGAAGATATCAAATTATTTACAAAAATGTTTTGAACTATCTATATATATATATATATGGTTTTAAAAATATTAGCTTGCAAGCACCAAACTTGTCTTTGATTGTCATGTGGCGAGTAGCCAGTCAAACCTAGCCCGTATTCTTAATTCTTGATAAGTAATAATTTCTAGAGGAGGAAACATACCTATGGAATTGTACCAGATAAAACATCTCTACGTAGGAACGGAGTTATAAGGCCAAATTCAATTTGGGTTCTTACAACAAATATACACACTCAGAGAGAATAAGAATGGAGGAAGTAAGGGAGTCTGATTGCAAAATCACGTTACATTTAAAAATGACAAGCCTTCCCTCATATAACCGTTATGCGCAATGCATATAGTGGGAATGTGTGGGATAAGGTTAGCCGCTCCCTCCTTAATTCAAAATAAAAAGGGAGAAAATCACATTTGAAGACTTGAGAGAATCACACATCAAGACCTAGCATTTCTCATAATTATGATAAAACCCCATTCCATAATTGGGCTTATATTTTAGCCTGATCCACCAATGCTAGATAATTCAACAATTAGGATAATTCTAAATGTTGTCTCTCAATATTAAATTGATAGTAGTTAGCAGAGCTACAATCTGTCCAGACAACACCTGCTTGAAATCTCTCTCCCAACAATAACCTGATTAGTGACAAATCCATCCATCTCAAGAGTATACTACACATTATCTAGATGCAGAGAATGAAAGTTATTACCTTCACATCTCTTTCACTACTATAGTCTTGTGGTTTGTAGTCTTGAAGAGAGTTGAAGTAAATCTGAAATGCATTAGAAAAAACAAACATGTTCCTTATCCTGAAACCACTTTTTACATCTCAAGACTTGAATTTCCCAGCAAGTGTAAGGAAACAAGATAGCGCAAGTAGAAGAAGCAAATAAAACCAAAACAATAAGGGAGCGCGTAGGATTTCATCAATAATTATAATATGTTCCTCATTCATTGAAAAAGAAAAATAAAGACTTTTGCAAGGTTAATCTACCACTACATAACCTTCCATAACATGATTAAATTTACATTATTGCATAAGGAAGTTATAAATACCAAGAGAGTGGAATTCGGGACCCTTCCCTTATTCTGCTGCTCATTCCTAGCCAGCACTTTCTTGATGACTTAAGGGTCCTTGTTCAAGACATTTTTGTTGCGTTTTGTAATTTACTAACTCCTCTTCACCCCACAAATGTCATTTGACTCTCATCAATATAGTATTACATTATGCTGTCATCTTCTCACGCATCCCATTTTACATGAGACTTTTAAACAGTCTCCTATAAATAATATATTGTCCCACTTTTGTCCCATGTAAAATGGATGCAGAAGAATTCCCTTGTACTTTTGGTTCTTACAATCCTCTTACAAGTAATCTTAACAAAATCAAGAAGAACCTGTCAAGTTTTCACATTATTCAAGAAGATGACAATGTAATGGAATGCTATAGAGGGGAGAGTAAAATGGCATACATGCATGGAGCAGCAAAAAGGAGAAATTGAGATAGCATTTCTTGTAGGAAAAACACAAACGATTCACATCCTTATTAAGAACTCACATTAATTAATAATGCTAATAAATTAAGGGATGAACGATGAAATACCAAGAAATGCTATGGCCATACAAAGGGTGTGTGCCACTATCTTATCTCGCGAAGAATGTGTATTTCCAAAAGCAAATGTGTACCTCTAAGAAGAGACTTGAGACTTTTAAATAGTCTCCTGTCAAGGATATATTGTCCCATTTGTGTCCCATGTAAAATGGGATGCACGAGAATTCTCTCGTACTTTTGGTTCTTACAATCCTCTTACAAGTAACCCAAAAAAAAAAAAAAATCATGAAGAAGCTATCAAGTTTTCACATCATTTAAGAAGATGACAGTGTAATGGAACACTATAGAGGGAATAAAATGGCATACATGGGAATAGAAAAAAGAGAAATTGAGGCAGCATTTCATGCAAGAAAAACACAAATGATTCACATCCGGAAGCATAATGGGAGACAGGGAAGTTAGGAGTTATGATAATGAATAACATCGTGGAAGAGAAAATTCAAGGATAAGAAGAAGCAGCATTTATGACAGTTTTAAAATAATATTGTTGTTATTATTTAAAAAATCATTTTTTATTATAAAAAATTATTTTTAAAAATTAATATTGATGTGGATAGCCTATAATTGCAGCATTTTTTAAAATGCACACGTGTGGGGCTTAGACTTAGAAGGCTGCTTGTGGTTCTAATTTTTTTTTTTATATATAGATATATAGATTTCTTTAATCCTATTTTTGGAAGACAAACAATGAAGGGACACATAATTTTCTTATTATCATTTTAAATTTGAAGTTTGATTATCATTTTTAATTGTAAAATTAAATTTGGTTATTAATTTTTGGTTAGACTATTATCATTTTTATTATCTGAAAGCCTCTTATTACACACACATTGAAAACCAAGCTTGAGAAAAATATCATTTTTCAAACACAGAACTTTTTTAAAAAAACTTCACTTGTTTTCTTAAAAAAATATATTTTGTTAAATTTTATTGTATTTATTTAAATTTCTGAGGGCAACGAGAATTAAAAAAATCATAGTATTTTCAAAATCTAATTATACTGAGAAGTATAGATGAGAAATAATGTCATAAAAATACCAAAATATACAACGATACCATAAAACTGTAAAAAAATTAAATAATAAATTTTTTATGAATAAAGATACATGAAGAGATCATAAAACATATTTAAATTACTATATAATAGTTATTTTTTATTATAGTACCCAAGTATGATTGTTACTTATTATAAAATGTTTAAACTATACATAATTACTTATTTGTAAACCTTAAACAGGAGGCCGTAAGTTTGTAACTTGTAAGTTTATTTTATTTTTTTTTAATTTGTTCTCATGTGGAATGCAAAGGTCCATTTTCTTTATTAAAAAAAAGTCCATTTTCTTAAAATGACTTATATTTTATAATTTTTACGTGCCTTTTTCATAAAAACGCATACAATTTTTTATTTAAATTTTATTTATTAATCCTGACAATTTCGAAGATTTTTTTTTTCGTGTGATTAAAACTAAAACTATTTTAAGGGATGGTACTTCAATGAACATAATTCCACGGTAAACTAGTATATCCAATATCAAAACAAAAATTTAGATTCTAGTAATACCAAACAACCTTTATTTCAGTTGAGTATTCTAAATTCTAATTAAACTTAATACTGGCTTAGCGTCAGGAACAATAAAATATTATTCTTTACGGAATCTAATATAAAAAAAGGAACAGAATCCAAATGAAAAATCAATGCAACGGATCAACACAAACGACAATAATCAAAAAGCAAATCATGCAACTGTTTAGCGCAGCAACAGTAGAGCGAAAACAAAACAAAGCGTCCGGGAAAAAAAAAAAAACAAGAAGAAAGAAAACAGAACAGGGGGGCTGACGCGAAAACTGAAGGAAAACGCTGAGATGCGGACGATGATGGCCATGGCAACGAACACTATTGCAGGTCACCAGTCAGTTGAGAATGGCGCGAGAGCAATGGTAGGGCCCAGAAGAGGAAGAAAATGAAGTGATTAGGTTTTATTTGGGAGGGGCTTTTCTGGATTGTCAAAACATAGCAGGGGTAAATTAGTCCCCATACAACAAAATTATAGCCCTTCCCTCCAAAGCCCCCCATTTTGGAGGGAAAGGTTTGGAGGGAAGGGGAGGGCAAAAAATGTTATGAAAATTTTTGCTCCCCTCCGCTTTCCCTTCCCTCAAACCAAACAGGGGGCAAAAGTGGAACAATATGCAAACACATATTACAAACAAATATCATCAATAACACTAATTTATACATGGGCTCTTCTATACATATACAACTGCATCAATCCAGCTTAATGTAACTTAGAAAACCTCATACATATACAAAAAGCTCGTTGCATCTGCCTAGCATGCTTTACCTATGGAAAACTAGAGTTCCCAACTATGAACTATCTCATCTATATGTACTATAAAAACACGAGCATTATGACTCATTTTTCAAACTCTGCAATGAACAAGACCCGCACTAATTCAGCTCTCCATAGCAACACCCCCGCAAATTATTCAAGCTTGGTTTGGATAGAGAGAAGTAGAAAGAGAATAGGAAGGAGAGAAACTAAAAGGAAAATTTTCCAAAATCAGTCTTCTTTTTTTTTTTTACTATTTTTAGAAAGTTTTCCCTCCTAGTTTTCCTTTCTCTCTATTTTTCTCCCCATCCAAACGAAAAGTTAAGGCAGTTCAACGCATTTACTCTGTATCCTCTCCAAACAAGCAGTGCTCCAATTGATCAGGAGGAGTAACCCTCTTCCTAACTAACATTTCAACTGTAGGACACTTTCTCTTTCGCCCTCCCCTTGGCCTTGACCTGAATTGTTCGTCAGATTCTTCAAAATCCCCCTGCGGCAAGGCAACCGAAGAGTTTCAATATATATATTACTCAAATGATTTGTGAAAGTGGCTTACAGAACAAGCATTATTGTAATTGGAAACAATAAATGAAAAATGGTTAGGAATTGTATTTATGGCAACTTACATGGGTATAAACATGTAACCCAGTTTTTTCGTGGTTGTCTCTCACGTGTTTGTAGGAAAATCTCTTGCCACAATCAGGAAAGCCACACACAAATGGTTTTTCTTTGAAGTGGACAGCCTTTACATGCTGGTGAAGATTGGATTTCTGTCCATGCAAACCAAAAGAATGTAAGTTAGAAGCAAGTGAAGTTTTGAACTTAAACAGGATTTCTGTTTGATGCAAACAAAAAGCAAGTCACCAACATTTAGCTTCTAATCAACGCCTTCAGTTAAATGCAAATCACATAATCTAACAAGTAGAAATGTCTTACACTAGTGAATGTGCTGCTACAACCCTTGTGTTCACATTTGAACGCCTCTGATGAAGAACATTTTTCATGCAACCGGAGGTGCCGCTTGATATTCTTCTTCAGTTCCTTTTTCCCACAAGTTTCACAGGTTACATGTTGATGACAGGTTTTGATATGGACTTTAAGGCACTGGACATTGGTAAAATGTTTTATACAACCAGGATCCAAGCAGACTACCTCTACTGAGTCCAGCTTAACTGCAGAATATAGATGGTCTTTAGAAGTGCAATCAACTTCCCTAAAGATCAAAAACTTCCAGACAAGACCAATTAACAGACATCTGACTGAAAATAGCAAATTGATCAAGAAATTCAAAAGGAAAGAAACTTGCCATGACAATTTTCATGCTTTTGTAGCTTTGAAGCAAATTTGAAAACCCTTCCACAGCCAATTTCTGGGCATTTATACTGCTTCTGAGCTTCAACTTTGGCCGGGGTGGAATTCTCATTATGAAATTCTTTGACATGTCTGGTCATATTCCCTTGGAAAGCAAAGTCACGGTTACAATCCTCAAGTGGACATTTAAAAGTTTTCCCTTTATGTTGCAGAAGGTGACGAGTCAAGTGGTCCTTTCTTCTGTAACTCGCTTGACAGTCATCCATAGAACACACATATGGCCTCTGAATCATTAAAATAAATAATTGTTAAATTTGGACCTCAAACTAAAGTGTCATGGGAGCTCTGATAAAAAAGCAACACCAGCAAACCAACTGCAAACCTCATTACAAAGCGTGACTGAGGCAACCTTGATGGAGCTTCTCAAGAGGTCTCCCTCCCCGATACTGATCCATCAAGTCAAAAAAAACCTGCCTCATGCATTTTGGAGTTCTCTGTTGGGGATCCAATGCTTCACGCTACAATATCCAAAATTTTCCAATAGTATAAGTGTCTTTCCTGCAAAATATATTATTCAGTTGATGCAAAGAATAATATCATTATGCCTAGAAACAAATAGCTATATGCAAGGCGAGAGTCAGGATTTAACTATGAGGGGGGCCCAGATTTAAAAGCTTACAGACTACAGAGCTTTCATAAATCTTAAGGGGCTGGAAGTATATAGCATTAACATCTATATAATACTAAGAAAAATTTAAAAATTTGGGAGAGCTGTGGCCCCTGTTGGTCCTCCCTCCCTCTGCCCTTAGCTATATGACTAGATTTTTGTTTTCAGTCCAAGGGACTCAATCAAGAATCAAGAGATTAGAAGATAACTTCCTCCGACTAATTCAATTCCATAAAGAGTATATATCAATGCAATTCAAAGGCAGCAAGATTGTGGTAACCAATTGTTTTCTAAATCTCTCCATCCACACAAACAATCTTAAGTAAAATTTCAGGACAATACAAGGTAGTACAAAAATGCATTGGAGTACAAAATTTAGAACTTTAGAACATTAGCTGTTCAGTGTAATGGAAATGTCAACAAATACCTCGAGAGAATGACTTAGCATGTGCTGCACCAAATAGGCTGGTTTTTTGAAACTAGCACCACATTCCTTGCAAGTGTTGGATTTTATGCCCTCAGCTTCATGATCTTTATCCACTCTGACCTTTTCCAACTCCTCCTGAGAGACATCAAAAGATCAAAATATAATCATGTTCTTATAGCACACATCACCAAGAAAAACACATCTCTGGTAAACATAGCATATCACCCTAAAACATGGAAAAAATTGCAGCCATCTCCATTAAACTAATACAAAACCTAAGTTCCCAGATTTACATTTTCTCATGATTAAATCTACCTAACGTAACTAAGCAAAATGATATGCACTCACCAATGATTCCATTCACTGTATAATAGTTTTTAAATTTGAAAACAATAGATTTCCTAATTCCTTCAACATCTAAGCACATCATGTGTACAACTTCATCACCAAGCGTTCTCTTGGCACTAGAAAATAAAAACATGAGAAGAGAAGTACCTTGTGGCAAGAATTGATATGAGAGGTTATCAGGGTCTTTTTGGATCGACAGATACCACAGTACTCACAGAAATAGCGTCTAATATCCCTGAAAATAGGCCTCTCCCCAAATTCTCCCGGTTCATCCATCTTTATCTCAGACATTATGAGGTCTCAATCCTATCCAGGAAACAATTATAAACTCAGAATGAAAAATTAACCAAGTAATCAAATAGCATAGAAAGGATAAAAAACCCCAAGAAATAATCAATCCTTCTAACTGTTATGCATGTCGTTCTTGTGAGGGAAAATCCCTCACTATAAGTACCGGGTATAACGGTGGACTCTAAATCTAAAGCCTTGCAGCGCACAAAATATCCATTAAAATGAAATTGCAGGGGATCCTGATCTCACACATGACTCCACCGAAAATCACTTTACACCCCAGCATAAACAGCCAACAAATTTAGCTAATACAGCTAACTGAATCGAGAATTTGCCTCCGTTAAGCAAGCATGCAAATCACAAGCCTCAAGCAAAAACCTAAAGCCAAATCCGTCGCTAGAAATCTAGGAATCGTTAGAAAATATGGCATGAAAAATTAATCAACTATAAAATTGAAAGTAATAGCTATGATAGGTCAACTAACAAACCTGAGCTATCTAATTTGCAGAAGAAAGCGGGATACAGATGAGATATTGGCAGCTATAACCCCAGATACAATACAACGAATAGCTCGTGCTACACGGCTGGAAACTTGAAGAAGATCCACAAACTCTATTAGTCTATTTCCCCAACCCCAACTTTAATTTTTTTTTATTTTTTATTTATTGATTTTTTTCTTTGTAGAAATGATAATAAAATTTATTTTAATTATATAAATAATAATGTGATTCCTTAAAATACTATAATTTCACTTAAATTTTAAAAATTTTTTTATTATTAATAAATTTATATAAATGATTAAATTATTCTTATAGTAATATCAGAAATTTGATGTGCATATGAAGTTGTGATTTATTATTGTATTGTTATGAATATAAAAAAAAATTTGTAATTATTTAAATAAAATTTGTAATTATTACCTATTATTTCAAACACTTATAGTAATATTAGAAATTTGACATGTGAACTTATAATTTATTGTTGCATTATTGCAAATATAAAAAGAAAATTTGTAATTATTTAAACAAAACTTTTGATTATTATTTGTTATTTCCAATACGTATAGCAATATTAGACTTTTGATATATGAAGTTATGATTTATTGTTATATTATTGTGAATATAAGAAAAAATTTATAATTATTTAAATAAAATTTGTGATTATTTTATTTTCAATAAAAATAATTTAATTATTTATATAAATTATTAATAATAAAAAATTTTAAAAACTTCAATAAAATTATGTCCTTTTAAGATATTAAATTATTAGTTATATAATTTAAAGAAGTTTTATTATCATTATTTTTTTCTTTGCTCAAGTCCAAAAACCATCTCTTGGCAATTTGAGTGGAAATTTGAGTAGAAAAAAATTTTTTTTTCCTAATAACTTTATGCAACTAATTTTCTTAGTAAGTGGAGATTTAAAGTTTTATCCCAATTTAATTTCAAGTTATTAGTGTTTGTTACTATAATTTAAAAGGATATTGTTTTTTAATTGACTAAAACTAATAAAAAACGATAGAGGTATAGCATAGTTATTGTCGTAGAATAATAATATAGAAATATTTCCTATAAAAAAATTAATGGAAATAATGGATACTATATGTTCATAAAATGTAATAGATACTGGATGGATGGATACCTGAATCATCATCACATTGTGATTATTATTTTTTTTCCAATTAAGTTATCCTTATGAAATCCTTCTTCTATTTAAAAAAAAAATGTAAGGTATCTTTCTATGAAAGATGTTAAAAATATAAGGCTTTTTGAATTTTTCAAGTACAATTAATGAGGTTTTTTTAAAAAAAATTCATTCAATAAGGGATATAATTAATAAGATTTTCTAACTAAAACACTTTATTAAATAAGGATAAACATAAAAATATTATATAATTTGAAAGATAATTAACTAATTCATTAAAAATATAATTTGATAAAAAATGCCTTATAATATTGGGATAATTATTTTTAAGTCCCATATAATACAATTAAATACCACAAAGTCTATAAACAACTACTTCCTCCATTCAAGAATGTAAGGTATTTTTTAAAAAATTGAATGTTTAAAAATATAAAGCATTTTTAATCTTTTGAAATATAATTATTGTCTTTTTTCAAAAGTGTCCCTATTAATAATAAATTTATATTTATTGTAGGATATTTAATAGAGGTAAATATAAAAAGATAGGGTTAATTTAAAAATAGATAACTACTTTATTGAGAGGTGAGATTCAATTAAAATATTTTATATTTTTAAATGAAGGGAGTAAATAAAAGAAAATGACAACGCAATAGGGGAGTAATTAGCATGTGGCTTCACATTTAGAAATTGTATTCTTCTTAAATTAAATAACCATTAAATTAAATATAATTTATTTACATGCTAATAGTAAGCTAAATATATAATTGATTATCATTATTTGAATGGATTGTAAAAATTAATTATCTAATCATTATTGGTATGTGAACTAGACTATGAGTATAAAGCAGAAGCTTATCATTAACACAATTTTATAAATTCATTATAGATCAATATAGATGTATAGATATAGATGTTAATTTACTATCAACTTAGATATATTTATATAGATAACAACACCGAACACTCTAACAAAAAAATAAATAAATAAATAACATATACTATCAGCTTAAAATATGATGAAGGAATATATAGAAAGCTTCTGAATTTGCTTGAGATAGAAGGGAAATTTCTTTTAAGCCAAAATTACACTGTTATGTGTGTATTGGAAAATTTTGTTATTATATGAATATTAGTATTATTTAATATCCAGATTAATTTACTAGGAGACATTTATTAACATTAAATTTTTGTGCTTATAGCATTTAATTTTAATAAATTGGGTCATTTAATTGAATAAGCTATGATACGTGGGAATATTTAATTTGATCATGCACAAACTCATTGATTAATTTCAGTAGTGTCTAAGCTTACTAAGGAGCAACTATATTATTACCAAAAACAAAACATTTGTCATTTGATACACTCCATCCAATCTTTAATATGAGGCAAATTTTAATTTTTTTTATTCTTAATATAAGACAAAGTTTAAAAAATTAATATTTTTTTGAATTTTATCGTCTGTTTAATATTATTGTTTGAATTTCTAAATAACAATTGACTATAATTGTTAATTACAAATAGGACGGAATTGAAAATATAACTATTATTCCTCAATAGGTTAGTCAAATACTCCTATGTCTAATATATGATCAATGGGCATTTTCGAAATCCTGAAAGTGCTGTGTAAGATCTAGTGATAAAGAAAATGAGTGAGCGTGTGGCTAAGATCGGAGAAGGAGGAGGAGATAGAGTTAAAAATAAAAGTTGAACTTAGCGACCATTCATTTAAATTAATTTTATAAGAATTTAAATTTAAAAATATTAATTTTTTAAAAAATTAAGCTCTGAAACCCAACCCTAATAAGTGATAAGAAAATAAACTCGGGCAACTTTTTAAGTTTCTTTTTATTTTAACTCAAAAAAAATATTTTTATTTTTTAAATTAAATTTAAAATTTAAAATATATATTTATTCTTTAAAATTTATTTTTTTATCATTTAATTTTAATTTTTTTTAATATTATAATTTGTATTTTAAAAATAAGAAATATTATAATTAAAATTTTTAATTTTTAATAAATTTAAAAAATAAAAAATAATAATAAGAAATTTATGAACTCTTAAATAAAGGTTAAGTTTTAAAAATTAAATAAATTTTTAAAAATTAGATTTAAAGGCTGAGCTCACATGATCAAGTCCTTCGTTTCTCACATCCAAGAGGAGACGTGGAAAAAGGGTGCTGTGGAGGAAGAAGATCAGATAATAATGAAGCAAACAGTGGGCAATATTATACACAAAATCAAAACTTCTTTTAACCCTAGCTGCCCGTTCTCATCGTTCCCACTTTGTTCTTTTGTGTCTTCTTCCATTCTTCTCCATATCTGAACCCACGTGCTTCGCCTGTTCAGTCCTTCATCGTATTCCATTCTTGCTCCATTCATCGTGCGTCTTCTCCGTCTAATTTCGAGCGTCTTTAATTTACTGTCTTCTCTGTCTGACTTCGTGCGTCTTCACCGTCTTAACCATCTTTTCTGCAGAATCCCACTGTCTTCGCCAGGTGCGTCCTTTATGTTTGCCTTCTTCGTTCTGCTCTGCTTCTTTGATTTCTTCAGATTGGATTTCTTTTTTCATTTCTGCTCCACATTGCTTTTCTTCACTTCTTCGTCCTATTTGTGTAGCCCCTTTTGGATTCATATTCCAAGCCAAGCATTCGACTACAACAAGATAAGAAGTGGCGAGCATAATAGAGGGCTCCTTCGAATGGGGTTCTCTACTATGAGGTTGAATCAAACAACCATTAAAGAACAAGGGAACAAAAAATAGAAGTCGTTCAAGATGTGAAGTGAAGATGATGGAGGAAAGGGCCAAGCGAGGAGCTCCTGAAAATGAAATATTGGAATTGCCCCTCTGTTTTTACTATTTATGATAATTGAATTTAGTCCTTAATTGAGTGTCAAATTTTTGGGCCTTCTATTCACAGTGTCGTGAACATGTAATTATTGTAATATCTGATATTATTTAAAAGAAATCAATTCAATTGAGCTAAAATCAGTGTGTCTCATTTTTTTTAATCACTTGTTTCTTAGTTTTAATTTGAGAAAAAAGTGTAGAAATGCTCTAAATGTGATAAACCAGAGTCTGACTTTCACAAGCATGTCTTTAAAATCTCATTCACGAGTGATTTGAATTGAGATCTCACTAATTCTGATTCTCCGTATAAAATTACCATGCATTGGTGCACTTAGCTGTAAAATTTGATTTGAAAATGTGATAGTAGTTTATGTTTGTCCGAGTAGGTCTATCACATCCCTTTTCTATATCATAGTAATTGATGTTTGTCATATCCATGCATTAGCCTATCAAAATCAGATGTTTGCTCAAATTCTTAGATGAAGCACCTAGTTGGCAACGTTGCCACCAAGTTCTTATCATGTAATATAACTGGATATCCAACCATAGGGCGAAAGATACCTAGTTACTTATGTTATTTAATATTTGTTGATGATTCTATTAAAATTTTATCATTTAATTAATTCACTATTAATTAGGTAAAACAGGTTAATTAAAAAAGTTTTTTATTTTTCGTTCTCAATATTTTGAGAGTATTTTATCAAACAAGTAATTTCATCTTTTAGTTGTGATGTGAGATATCATCTTTCAGAACAATTATTCAACAAGTTTTTTTAATATATTATTTTCATAACCATAAAATTAAAATAAAACAAAAACAGTTCAAACAGAAACTGTCCCCATCCCCTTGCATTCGTCTTCGCCGTTATCGGAAAAGCTTAAGCAAAAACACTAGTGTATTTCACTGTAAATTAACAAACAAAAAAATCGTTCATAGAACCTGATCAGAGATTCAAAATCATCATCTTAATACATAATCTAAGCTAATAATAACACGCTTTAAAAGAAAATAGAAGCCATCTTCCTCCTTCAAGCCTTTGGTTACTTCTCCGAAGAGTTTGGTCCTCGCTTTTTCCCGAAGCCGACAACTGCAATTGCAAGATACAAACACCGTATCGGGATCCAACGACCAAGAACAAAAAACAAGCCTTAATCTTCTACTATTAATTTTAATAACAAAATTAAAAAAACCAGAGTATGCATGTCTAGAATCAAAAAAGCCTTGAAAGCAATCCCATTCGCAATTATTACTAATATCAAAACAGAAATCTGAATTTTAACTTACCAGCAGTGACGAAACGTCTGTTATACTGCATTCGCTTATGCGCACGGCCTCTAGGCTTCTTCTTTTTGTCTTGTTTGGCTACTTTTGGTGTTTGGCCTCGCACTTTGCCAGCACGAGCCAACGATCCGTGGACCTTACCTGAAATTGAAGAAATCAAAGCAAATTAGGAAAGCCAGAAGACGGAAGACAGAACACAGAATCAATCTGCAGGTAATTAATCATGAGACGGGATGAAACTCACCCATGATGGATTACCGAGTTCGCAGCACAGCGACGCGCCGCGTTTCAGTTGCAGATGCAGCAGGAATACAAGACGAATTGGTACGGTTAGGGTTAGGGTTAGGGTTAGGCTAACATAGATAGAAGGACAGCATTTTGCTCCATGTTCTCCTGGGCTTTTAACATGTTGGGCTTTATTTTGGGTCACTGTGATTTGCATTACTGGATGCCATCAATGACGATTCACTTAATTAATGCAAGGATTTTCTATGTGGGCTAAGATATACTATGTGTGTTTTTTAATATTATTTAAATTAAAATAAAAATGTTAAAAATTTTACACTATATTTCTTTTTTTTAAAATCTAAATGCCATCGTATTATTAACTAGTGTTCCTTGCGATACACAAGAAATTTACTGTGTCTTGTAAATTCTTATAAATGATAAATATTTTAATGTGATTGTTCATCATTTTTGGTGTGATAAACATGAAGTGTAACCTTGCCTTAAAAAGATGATCTTGCACTATCATTAATGATATTAATTATATAATTAAAAATTATGGGAATGTATTATAGAGATGATGATTTATTGGACATTATAATAATTTCGGGCTAACAAACCAATTTAACAAATTTTAGATAAGCCAAATAAAGATTGCACTAATTCATAAGAGAAGGAGAAAAATATTTATAAACCAAGCAAGTGAATTTAGTAACAATGAAGAATTGTAAAAATCGTTTCATAACAATATTAATTGATCCATCATGTGTTGATTTCTTTTTTGTTCAACATAACCATACAATCTATCTCAAATACCACACGGATTTCTCATTGCAAATAATTTTCCTTTTGTTGATAGGGTCTTGTGGAGATTATTCTTCCTTATGTAAGCGCACAGTTGCTTTACAATCTAAACACAGTCATATCATTAATTAGTAATCTTGCTAGAAACATATAAAAATTAACAAAGTTAATGAAAAACTTCAAAAGCATCATGTAATTTAGGGGAAACACCACAAAGTTTGTTGAGAACTTTGGGGCCACCTCTTCTCTTTGCTTTAGTTTTAGTGTTGCAAGAAAGAACCCATCTCTTTTAAACCAGTCAATCATAAAAGTCATGTTTGAACATTATATGATAGATCATGTTAGAAGACAATTTTCATATGCGTTCTATAGATAAGAATAAATGATTTTCATCATTTGAAAACTTGGGATGATTTAACAATTTTTAAGGAGATCATGCCTTATTCTAAAGAGAAATATCATACCTTAGTAAAGTTTAGATGCATCTGCCAACTTTAAACATACTTCTAAAAATATATTCCAATCACAAAACAAAGGGGAAAGTCAAATTTGAGAATATAAACCAAAAGATCACTACGATCAGACATAAAGCAACGGCACAAGAGTTATGGCCATAAAAGTATTAATCTATGCTAGTTAAATGAATGTTACAAAAACTAAGAAAATACTCACTATCATATGACGGTACATGTCTCTGTTATTTAAACAGACAATATAAACCATCTGTACAAAAATGAAATGGCTATTTGTTTTGGAGTACAACAGTTCTTGTGCATTTATTCCAACAAAGGCAAGTTTCTGATGCAAAATAAAAACGAAATGGTCATTGGTATAGGCTAGATCAAAACCTTATTCAAAAGGTGCAATTTTCTCCTACAAAAAATGACAATTATTTCTCTAATCCCATCAAACTATGCAACAAAAGCACCAATTGCACATATTTTCATACAAAACCAAAGCCTCATTAGCATTTTTTCACAATTTATATAGAAACTGCATTTATAGCAACAAAGAGAATAACTTGAATATTAAAAGACAAATAAAAAGTCGTTCATGATTCAACAATAGAACAAATAAAATGTGACAAAGCTTATGATATTAACAAAAATATCAAATCTATAATAGAACACATCAATCCCTAATAGTATTGAGCAAAAGCTATCATACGAATTTATTGCCCCTGAAACAAAAAAGCTAAGGCGAATGAAAGAAACTTGTTCTGCAAATCATATGTGGCCCATATCAAACATCCTTTGAGAATTTGACTATAAGACGCTGTCCTTCATGTGACCATTCTCCCTAAGAATGGGACAACAAGTCAGACAGTTAACATGATTAAGCACAATAAGAGTAAAGCAACACTTGACTCATTTCATCATAACATTACTACAATCCAAGATACCATGAATCATGAAGCTCCAATGCAAGCAGTAATTTCATGGGAAAAAAATATCACAATTTGAAATATAAAAGATACAATAGCTTCATTCAACATTGCAGATGTTATGACTTGGGGAATGGGTTCAGTAGTATCACCAATTTCCAAACTTATCACTTTCGCATCAGGGTACTTCTACAAGTGTGCAACCTTTCTAGCAATCTACTCTCCATGATAAAATGGGAAAATGAATGTCAGCAACAAGGAAAGTGTAAAGTAAAGCAATATCAAACACTACAATAAAAACAATCTCAAAATTTGAGGAGGGGAAACAAAGAAAATTTGTCCATTGCATCAACTAACTTAGATTAAACAAAAAAAAATAAAGATGGTGGATACTGTCTCTGTTGCCATCTTCTATAGGTCTTTCTCAAGGGAGACAGGATATACATACAAACTTTCATATTCAAGCACTTCATTTGAAGCATATATTATAACGAAACATCCCATTTCCACTATTTTCTACTCTACACCAATCAATTACGACAACTTTATTCACATATAGCATGTAAGAGTAATATATACATATATATATATATATATATGTATTTTGCACATATATATTATGGAAAATGATTGTAAATAGATATAAATACAAGGAAAAAAGATAGAAGAAAACAGAGGTGCAAAAACCAAGCATTAACTTCACTGATGTTAATGGGGAACCTTAATACAAGCAAGTTAACTTTAACCCATTTCAACAGAGCGTGCTCCCAATGTTTCAATTTCCTATGTGATAATTTAAGTTAGAATAACTTTATTCCTGTATGGACCATCAAACATCAATTATTAGCACTTCAACAAAAGGAATTTAGCAAAACATTGATCGTCAAATCATGAAGATCTTGTAAATGAATAATCCAAGATTAAAGAAGTGAAAACTTGATTTAAGTATAAATTTCCCAAAGCAGACAAGAGGATGCAAGATACCGGTAGCAAGGCAGGCATTCCCTTCTCAAGAAATTTCCTCTTGAAATAGACAACAAACGTAGTGAGACAACAACAAAGGTGGATAAGTCTAATTCTCAGTTTATTGAAATAATAGAAGTCATTTCTTCTTGGGTCAAAATCATTCTCTAATTCATTTATGTCAAACCTCTATAGAAGACCATCTTAGAATGAGCCAAGTTGATGCCAACTATATGAAGAAACACAAGCAATAGTTTTGAATATTTTGTATGAAGAGCTACCGCCAAATCAAGTTCAAATGACATAACATCTGATACACTTGTTGCCTTAAAAAGAGTACATTCTAATAAAAGAAAAGCGCACACTAAGACCACATTATTGGACCCTCCTCTTCCAAAACCTGTAGATAAAGTCTAACTCAAACATTTTCCACAAGAACGTCTAGGCCATCTAGTTTGGCAGCAATGGAACTTGCAATAGCTCCCAGTGTCTCTAATGCCATTCGATGCCACTCTATGTTCAAGCATCCTAAATGTTAGGTCGTACTATTCTACAATACAAGTACTTTTTGTTTTCAATGCACAGTAAAAAATTTTAGTATTGTACCTGAGCAGCACCAGCTGTATCAGATAAACCAACTCTGATAACATTTAAGTTGTTCAGCATCACCTCACGTTGAGCAAGAGCCTGCATGCCAGGAAAAAAAATCAAATATTTATACTTGAGTATTTTGTTGTCAACAGGTAATCTTTTTATGATAAGTGGAGCTGGTTAAGAGTTTGTGAACAACGGATGCTGTTTAGAAATGACATATTGAGATTGGCAAGTATTTCAATGAAAAATTACCATTAGCCAGCAGAACAATGTAGATAACTTCATTTATCTAGTCTAGTAAATTGTACTGTTTGATGTAGCTAGCATCTTAAAGTATGAACTTAAGTATCCCTATAGCATGTTCATATTAGGAAGCATTATACATCAAGTCCCACTCTATCAAATGGAAAAGACAAGAAATTAGCAAAAATAACAGCTAACTTGAGGATGCCTCAGAACAAGTTCTAGCTTCTCCCTTTTCACGCCAGGCAATCCTAAGAAGCAGTGAATATGGCCATGTGACATGGCCATGTAAAACAATCAAAAAATGAAAAAGCAATGCAAATCTTCAACCTTAAAAAAATATTATTAATAATAAATTAAAATTTTAAAAATAGTCAATAGACACAACAATAAAAAAAATCCCCAAAAAGAAATTACGTCATTCAAACGAGCATTTGTTGAGCTTAAGAAATGGAGAAAAGATATACTCCCTCCGTTAAAAAATGTAAGGCATTTTTTGATTAGTTGGATGTTAAAAAATGTAAAGTATTTTTATTCTTTCAAAGTATGATCATTGCCTTTTTTTTTAAAGTACCCCTATTGATAATAATTTTATATTTATTGTAAGGTGTTTAATAAAGGTAAATATGGAAAGATAGAGTTAGTTGAAAAGTAGGTAACTACTTTATTGGGGGGTGAGATTCGATTAAAAATGCCTTATATTTTTTAACGTAGAAAGTATATTTGTGTATTTGTGCTTTGGAAATCAAGTGCTCCAACTAGACTTTTGCATAATATAATTGTAATGGTAGGAAGGTAAAGAACAAAAGGCTACCCAATCGAATAGTAATATTTTATTCAATTAAAGCCCATTAAAAGCATCATGAAATACGATTGTTTTGCATTTATCACCATCATAAGTCTCAAACATTGTAATGCAGTAATAAAAAACCCTCATACAACTGCAAGCATATCTAACTCTACCTATATTGTTGAAGAACCCTTACATCCTGAGACTAAAGCACAGTCACATTCAAAGGTTACAGGAACATATTTAAATTCTTGAGCCAATGAATAGCCATGTATAAAGCCAATACCTATGTTAGAATGGTAAAACTTTCCTTGACTACTACAAACTAAAGATTGGAATCCATAAACAAACACGGGATTAGTAAAATAAATTGAGCAAGAGAAAT